ACAAATACAGGCTGATGTAAAAAGAGACCTATCCCTGGATTAGCCACATTCATTTCAGAAGTAATAAGTGATGAAAATTCAGAAATGTTCTGTCTGCATGAAAAAGCCTGGAGCAATAGCATCGTGGCTGGAGACAGTGACAAAAGTGTACAAAATAAGAAGAAAAAAGGCAGTTCAGTGCTTCTAAAACTCACGGCCTCACAGGCTCCAAAGGGGAGGGGACGGTCCATTCAATGTCAAACCTAAACCTCGTGATCACCACGCATTTAAGGTCTTTCCCTGAGTCTGCCTCCCTCGGTATAATCTGCCAATTAGATGCAGTTTTTGCTTGATGGAAAGAACCTTAAAGCATGGACTTTTCTCTAAAGGTCAGGGCAGTCATCCCCTGTAACAGAGCGTAAGTGGTGGCTGGAATGTGCCTTCCACCTCCGAGTGTTTTCTGTTAATTGGCTTCAGGCCTATTCACCCAGACAAGGTAGTGAAAATGGCAGGCTCCCAATTAGCTTAAATTTCCCTTAAGGTCCCTCTACATTCTGGTCCCAAATTCTCCCAATCATGTATTGTAAAGTTCCTGCCTCCTCTTCCGTGGAATTTATTAGTTGCAATAAACTGTGGGGATAGAAGAACAAAAGTAGCTTGTGATCTATTTTCTGCCAATATTAAATTATAGTCCATGCAGAGTCAAGGAAATGGTAATCGTTAAAAGGAATTCAGATTTCTTAAAGCGTTGTCATACATCAAAACTGGGGAGGTTGGGCTTCCCTGGTGGCGCAGTGGTTGCGAGTCCGCCTGCCGATGCAGGGGGACACGGGTTCGTGCCCCGGTCCGGGAAGATCCCACATGCCGCGGAGCGGCCGGGCCCGTGAGCCATGGCCGCTGAGCCTGCGCGTCCGGAGCCTGTGCTCTGCAACGGGAGAGGCCACAGGGGTGAGAGGCCCGCGTACCGCAAGAAAAAAAAAACTGGGGAGGCTTCCCTGGTGACGCAGTGGTTAGGAATCCACCTGCCAATGCAGGGGACACGGGTTCGAGCCCTGGTCCAGGAAGATCCCACATGCCGCGGAGCAACTAAGCCCGTGCGCCACAACTACTGAGCCCGCGCGCCACAACTACTGAAGCCCACGTGCCTAGAGCCCGTGCTCCGCAACAGGAGAAGTCACCGCAATGAGAAGCCCACGTGGACACCGCCAACTAGAGAAAGACCATGTGCAGCAACGAAGACCCAACGCAGCCAAAGATAAATTAATTCAATTAATTAATTACAAAAACAGAAAAAGAAACTGAGGGGGCTTTGCTGCGCTTTTTGTTTCTTGGGTCTCGGAGTCAAAATTTCAGAAGGAGGAGACCATTTTTAAGGCAACACGACAGAAACCCATTTAGTTTGCAAACCCTTTGTGCTTCCTCTGAGAGCTCCCCGGAGAAGGGAGTCATGCGATTGAGGTAAGAAAAGGATGTCTTTGAAAGATGCTCAGTCCTCTACCTTCTGAGATGACCCTGACGTAGGACGCCGCTACAGGCAAATCTGAGCAAGGTGAGTCAGTCATGATTCTGGAATCATGTTGACTTTGACTCCAAGTGCTTCCTGGGTCAGAGTTCAGAGTTCAGATACACCACCTACCTTTAGAGACAGAGGTATGACTTACCAACACTCTAACAGAGGGAAGGAAGATTCAATGGCCCCCTTATCAATCCCAAAAGAGAAAGCACCTCAGCTTCCAGAGGTGCCTGCTAGCTCAGCACACACCCTCCTTTTGTCCTTTTCATCCCTACTGTTTATTCCCACTGGCAAAGCAGATGTGGTCATAATTGCCTTCAAAAAACAGAGATAATGAGAAACAAGCACTCTAGTAGGAAACAGAGCAAAAACAAAACCACTGGAGGCATATACAGTCTAGAACACCCTTGACCTCTTCAGTCCAGATGGCATAACTAAAAGAAGACATCAGTTCCACCCCAGTGATCCCAAAGCATAAAGGCAAGGGCTGATTTTTTTTTTTTAACCATATGAAATATTCTTTTATCTACATGATGCCAGTCCTTTACTATATTGTTAATGGCAAAAAACCCCAAAAAACACAGAAGAGACATCAGGCCATTAAAGTCAAATGACTCATGGGAACAGTTAAATGAATAAATCCACAATTAAATGAGAATGGCTGGACTAGATTTCCAGTGTATCCAGCATGACCTATTTGTACTCTTCTGCCCAAACAATTGTGCTTACTTTTGGCCAAAGTTTTAATATGGGTTTTGTTTTGTTTGTGCTGTTCCTGTCCAGTTAAATAGACTTCAGGCTAGTTAATTATACTGCTGATGGTAAATCATTCAATTGAATGAATGGATCGGCATTTCTTAAACTGCAGCCAAGGAGAAGATGACTGCAGGCTCAGGAGTCAATCAGCTAATGTCATTTACAGTGGGCTACACATACTAAGAAAGCACTTTTTTTTTTTCTTTTTTAACTTTCTTATCATGGAACAAATACTTCAAAGAACTTCAACAAAAGCCAATCAAGGCTTAGTTTTTGGGGGGAAAAAAAAAGTTGTGTCTCAATGCATCCCTTTTGCTTAAAAAGAAACCCCCAAATTACAAAGAAAATCTATACCACTTCCCGTAATAACAGGCCTACAACCTCAATAGTAAGATAAAGTTATATTTTTAGAAGTAATTCAATGTATCATATTTTAGAAACTCCTGGCTGCCAAGTTTTTTCTCCTAATCTTGCAATAAAAATGGTCAGATTCAGCATCTTTAGCTTGAACGGAGCCCTGACTGTGTTTAGTGATGAGCAAGTGTGTGTCAGGGAAGGTAAACCCCCATTTCCACCCCCAGAACCAGGAGGTCAAATGCAATTAGTCTAAACCAACACAGGTACTTTTACTGCCTTTGATTTCAAAACGGGTAGGCAAGTCATGAGATTCTGGACAACAAAACACAAAGGGCATCTGGTGGGCGGGGGAAGGGGGAGATGGTGGTGACAGGAAAAGCTTATCTGCTTTCAAATGGGCCACAGTGAAGAGAAGGGCCCGGCCCCCCTTCCTCTGCAAGGATGTGATGGTCTGGACCCAGCAGGAAAGGGCTAGCCAAGCCTGTGGGGCTCCAGGAGAAGCTGGGGAACCTTGACCCTCAGGAAGGCCACTGGGCCAGAAATGAACCCCTACCCTTGCTTCCCCCTGACTTCTTGTTAAAGGAGCAAGGAGTAGCTCCTTATCATGCAATCTAGATGTTCTGTATTAGCACACAATGTTTATCCAACAAATATACTAAGACACACTGAATCTGTCTGGGTACCGGGCATGAATCTAAGCCCTCAGCAGGTATTATATCACCAATGAGGCAAGCTCTATGATTACCCCATCCGCTATGTCCACTATGTGAATAAACTGAGGGGCAGACAAGGTGAGCAAGTGCCCAAACCCCACAGGTGGTGAAGAGCCAATAGCAGCCTGTCTGACCCCAGGCCTGAGGTGAACTATCTCAATCCTAAAAAGTTACTTCAAAGTGATAATTTTCTCAAAACAATACAGATTTTAAATTAATTGGTGTTACTATTTCATTATCACTGGGTTTTCACTTGTTTTTATCACTTGTTTTTCCTAAGTAGAACTTCCACGGTTTTTAAACTATTTAAAATCATTTCCAGGGACTTCCCTGGCCGTCCACTGGTTAAGACTTCGCCTTCCAGTGCAGGGGGTGCGGGTTTGATCCCTGGTCAGGAAGCTGGGGTCCTACATGCCTTGCAGCCAAAAAACCAAAACATAAAACAGAAGCAATATTGTAACAAATTCAATAATGACTTTAAAAATGGTCCACATCAAAAATATATATATATTAAAATTATTTCCAGCACACAAAGTTTTATACTCCTTACTATAGGATAAAAATCATTCCATCACAGGTATCAAAGGCAAACTGTCCTTTTTTATTGTTTCATAATCAAACACCCCACATACACAGAACTATTTTAGGAGGTTTATGCTGTAAAACATAGACTGAGATGAATTCAGCAAAATACTTAGGGTTTCTTTCCACTGATATCATTAATCTAAATTGAAAAACAGCTATTCCAGTATCTAGGCAACCAAATTATCAATAATTTTAGAAATTATTGATACTGATACACAACAAAACATTCTGTCACCGAGTACTCACCTAGTTTGTGATCCATATGAACTTTTTAAAGAATACAGATGACAAAGGAACCAAATAAGTGCATTTTTAATATCAAAACTAATAAAACTACAAAGAAAACACTGGCGTTCCCACTACAGAGAAACACTGTGACTAACAATAAACAATTAACACTTTAAAAAAACAACACTGAAAGGATTTTTTATACATCAAAACTTACCAGATAAATTCTTAGTCTTCATACCAACAGTTTTGTTGCAAACAGTCCTCTTCCCAAGACAGGAAGCCATTATGTATACTGAGTGGTAACAATTCTGATTTCATGAATTGGAGGTGACTACCCCACAGAGTGAACTAAGCTACTCTGAAAACGTAGACACCTACAACAGGTCCTTGACATTTATGAAAGGACAAGTCCCCAGACCTGACAAGATAGTCTAAATGCTGAAACAACACTACAGCTTATATTTTTCCCATAAAGTGAAGTCAGGGATAACAGAAAATTTATTTTGCCTCTTCAGATCCTTTGACTTAATTGCCTCTCAGTCAAGAGGAGAGCCCATGGGTGGTCTTGAAAGTCTACCTATAAACCATATTATTCACACCAAATATATGTGCCTCACAGCCTAACAAGCTCTACGGTGGTGATACTTGAGAATCTACAGAACCTGCTTATGAGAAATCTTTGATCAGGAACCACCACCGAAATATTCTACATTTATGTTACACACACTCTGATACAGAGCCTGGTCCTTAACTATAGTTCGGCAGAATCACTTATCTCCAATCATCTCTGTGATGGAGGGCAACGTCTGGGGGATGGGCTAGGAAGTTACACCACCGACGCATGTAGAAGGATTCATTTGTGTTACCTGTTCTTGCTTCTCCAGCCACTTGTCCACCATTGGGTGACTGGCACTCAGAGATGAGCGAGCATTGTCTCTCTGAAATTGGTTAGACCAGTTACTAGTGTCCCGTGGGAGGCTTCTGTAGTTTTCATCTTTCTATTCAAAAAGAAACAAAAAGGTGTCTTGTAAAAAACCAGATCTTGCAAATTAATGATGCACCTGGTTTTTCAAAAGTGGCAGAAAAATGATTCTACATATTTAAAATGTTTTTCCCATGTCTATACCAAAAAGCTGACTGAGGACATTTCCTCCAGGTTAGACCTCAGAAATGCAGTCACCTGCCTGGGATACAGGAGTCTGAGGGCTGTGGCCACACACACAGGCCCACAATAGACATAAGAACACACTCTGCCCTCCTCTCGAATCAACCTCCCCAAGCCAAGGACATGCACCAGAAAATGGAAAATACTTCTATACCAGACTTTAATCATCACTCAATCACGGCATTTTCTCTTTTCTTCTTCCTTCCAATCTTAGAATAATACTGTGAGATATTTTATATAATTCACCAAAAATGTTTAAAACAGGAAAGACGAATGAAAGTTCTGTGACTTTGGGCAAGAGACTGAAGACTCTGGGTTCTTCTGTTGCCTCCTTCACAAGCTAGTGGTAAACATTAATTCAAATATCAAGTAGAGAAAAAAATTAGTCTATCCCAATACATGGTACATAATAGACACACAGTTGTTCACCCCAGAGCTTATGACGAGTGATGTCTTTACATAAAAACCTAGTCAACTGATAAATATTTATTTAATACACCCCAGAGCAACCAAGGTATCTCTTTCAAATAATAATTTATAACAACTTGCTTTGGCTTTAGAGCTGCAAAACTTAATTTCAATGTTCTGAAAAGAAATGAGAAGGCTAGGATAAGGTAGGAAAGTCGAACATTTTAGTTCAATAACTAAATCCAAATATCTCCTATAAGAATAAATTTAAAATGTTAACCTCACTTTAACCCACTTACATCAGTGCCCACTTTAAGTACCCAAATGTTTTCCTTAAAAACTTTGCTAAGGGTAGCGTGGTTGTAAATATCATCATATACATGATTGATCCTTATTCTTTATTACTTAAACCACATGAGCAGTCAGCACACACACAGAAACAAAAAAGTGTAATATAATAGATTTGCATTGTATAGACCTTAGCAATAGACCAGGATACTGCTTTCTGTTTCATCAGAGAATAAAACTTAAAAATGAATTGACTGGGCTTCCCTGGTGGCGCAGTGGTTGAGAGTCCGCCTGCCGATGCAGGGGACACGGGTTCGTGCCCCGGTCTGGGAAGATCCCACATGCCGCGGAGCGGCTGGGCCCATGAGCCATGGCCGCTGAGCCTGCGCATCCGGAGCCTGTGCTCTGCAAAGGGAGAGGCCACGACAGTGAGAGGCCCGCGTACCGCAAAAAAA